CGGACGTGTGCACTTTTTTCTCGGCGGGGACCATCGAGGACCCTCCTGGACCGAAACATGCACGGGAAATGGACGTCCGAGCGATGGCGAGTGGGAGGCCTCTGTTCTCGCTGCAGAGGGCCTCGCGGGTGCGGGCCCGCGTCGGGCGAGGCGGCAATGGGAAAATATGGGAAGTGGGGGGGAAGACAAAAACTCAGAAAACATACGAAACTATGGGGCATCCTTTTACTGGTGTGCATCTATTTGTGTGACCCCGGGGCCCCTTCCGTCGGGCGAGGCGGCACGTGCGCGCGTGCTCCGCTGCCGGCCGGGAGCGTCCCCCGGGGCCCAGGATGGCGGTGCGCGTGCCTCCCTCGGCCGAGCCCGGAGGGCGCGGGCGCCGAGCCCGGGCCGCAGTCGGGCGTGTCCCCGTGCAAACTGGTTGCTGAAGGTGCGTAGTTTTGATGCCCAAATCCTGATCTACTTTTGGCGCCTTCCTACTTCAAGAGTCGAGCGGTCTTCCCTCTTTCCTCCTCTTCCAGGGGGCGGGTGAAAGCCCAATCTACTTCCAACGCCTTCCTACTTCATGTTTCCACCCACTTCTTCCGACCGGCGTGTACAGGAGGGATAGCCAGAGATATCTTAAGGCAAATCGTATGGGGACGGTTTTTTGGTTCTTTTTGTTGACCAGTTTCGAGTTTTTTGGCTGATTTTCAGTCGTCCCCCAAGATCCGCCTGCAGGAGGACGTGGCCGACGTAATCCTGGGCCTCAAGAGTCGGGGGCGGCCCAGAGGGGTGTGATGACTCGGAGTGTGTGGATCTCATGGCTGGGGCCATGACATCTCCCCAGATGTCATGGCGCCTCTTCTCATCTCAATACGTCCCCAGCCCCTCCCCCCTGGGCCGCACACACGCAGGCGGCCATGATTTGCGCCAATCCCTCTTGCACCCCCCCTCTTGGACGCCCCCGGCTAGTCGGGGGCGGCTCAAAGAGGGGGGTGACGATTACAGTCGGACCGAGGCGTAAAGTCGAGGTCGGCTCGGGGAGGGTACCCTGATGTTCTCCGTGCCTGTTGGATGCTCTTGTGCATTCCGGGGGAGGGAACCCTTGGCTGTTCTGTGTGTTTTGGCCGGCGGAGAGTCTCATGTTCTTGAAGGATGTTTTGTTGCCCTAGGTCCGACTGCATCACGACACTTACCAGGCCACTCCCATCCAGCCCGAAGGTCAGGACCACCCGAAACATCAGGTGGGTGGGTGTGCAGATTACATAGTGTTTCCTGAATGTTCTGGGGTGCCCCCCCACCAGAAATCGACGGGCCCGACGGTGACTTCGGGTTGGGCTGGGGTGGCTTGGCAGGTCGTCAGGATATGGTCGGGTACAGCCAGGACCCCGGTTAAGGGGAGTCGGTCAGTGATTGGGCCCAGAAGCCAAACAGATGGATTGATATCACTGAACCAGGTCTGCCGTAGCTAGTGCCTTCCGGGTGACGACAATTCCGGTTCGTGGATGGGACGGCGGGGGCGTCCCTGGTACAGGTCACTAAACCAGGTCCGAATAAGCCCAGTCCTGCCATCGCCTGATATGGACCCATCGAGGGCCAGTGCACCTGCATACTGCAGGTTCGCGTCGTGTCGACCAGCGGCGACCGCGCTGATGGCGTCCAACGGTGAGCGCCGCCAGCGACCCAGAATCGGTCGATGTTGGATGATCGGACGTTCTGGAAACGGCCGATCGTTCAAGGTTGAAAGACCCCCGCGATGTCAGGAACTAATGCTGGGGCCGACACGACGCGAAGCTGCCCCAACTGAGGCTAACTCCATAGGGAGTAGGTCCATGCGGAGTGCTCGGTCTCCACCTGGGTGTATTCAGGCTGGACTGAGTCTCTCCTGATCGGAGGCTAAGTGCATACGAAGTAAGTCCAGACAGCACGGCCGCCGATCATAATCATTGACTGTGACGCTTCCATTACAGTCACAGCATTCGTTGCTCGGCGAATCAACCATGTATTCTTTTTGATGGTGAGTCCACACGGAATAACTCCACGTCTGGACCTGGCCTCCCCTGACTGCCGGCCTTCCCTCCCCTGGGCGGGGGTCCCCCCAGCATTGTCGGCCACGCACAGAGGCAGGGTAGGGGGAGGGGGGAAGGCTTCTCGGGAGCACCCCTGCTTCTAAGAAGGCGCGGGCCTCTGTAGCAGGACTGGACCTAAGCGGTGTTTTTGGTGATTTCGTGGGCCGTTTTCGTTTCGACTTCGTTTTGCAGTAAAGGCGGATTCGAGACAAAAGCGGGGGGAAACGAAAGCAAAACCAAAACGAACAACACCGTTTAGGTTCAGCCCTGCTCTGTAGCTGCACTGGGCCGGGGCGGCGCCTTCCGAGGAGCAGCCCCCTTCCGAGAGGCCTTCCCCCCTCCCCACTGCCCCCTGCTACGCGCCGCCGGCATCGGCCCGCGCGCCTGGGTCCGCCTCCGCCCCCCCCCAGGGCTCACTTTGCTTCCTCCCGTCCGATTCGATCCGGTCTCGATGGCCTCCGATTCCGATTTGATTCGACTTCGGATTCTGCGTTGGGAGGCCTTACTGGCCTTTCGAGTTCCGCCGAGTCGACTTTTTTCCAGACTCGGCTGCCGATTTCCGCCGATGCGATTCGTCTCGATCGCCGATGCGACTCCTTCATCGATTCGATTCTGGGCTCTCCCGCCCCCCCCCCCGCGGCACTCCAGGGTTAAGTCGGGCCTGTCCCCCTACAGGGGGATGTTCGACGAAAAATAAAAATACTTCAACAAAAATCAAAAAAATAGTTCAAAAATCGTCTGGGGACTATTTTTGGATTATTTTTTGGCCCTGCTTGGGTATTTTTGGGGTATTCTTTATTTTTCGTCGAGAACCCCCGTTGGTATAGGGGGACAGGCCCGACATGCCCCCAGGGCCGAGCACCGCGGGCCCTCTCTCTGCGGCCGGCACGGGGCGCCGCCGGCGGCGCTCTCGCCCTCGCCCCGTGCCTCGCCCCCCCCTCTCGGGCGGGCCGGGGGGCCGCCTGCTCCGGGGGGCGCGCCCCCTCCAGGGTTAAGTCGGGCCTGTCCCCCTACAGGGGGATTTTCGACGAAAAATTAAGCATACCCCGAAAATAATCAAAAATAAATCAAACAGTATGGGGACTATTTTTGGACTATTTTGGCCTTTCTGGGGTGTTTTTCCCAACCCTCCTTGGTTGGGTATTCGTTTTGAATTGAGCAGTGTGGTCTCCACTCCTTCCTTCCTTCCTCCTCCCTCCCTCCCTGCCTCTTCCTGTCTTGCCTGCGGGGGGCTGCGATTTGTGAAACTGTCGCCATTTTCGAGGCCTGCTGGGGGGCCCAGCAAAGTGAGGGCGACGCGCAGATTCAAATTAGACCTCGCCATCCCTGGGGGGGTTGCGATCTGTGAAACTGCCGCCATTTTCGAGGCCTGCTGGGGGGCCCAGCACAGTGAGGGCGACGCACAGATTCAAATTAGACCTCGCCATCCCTTGGGGGGCTGCGATCTGTGAAACTACCGCCATTTTCGAGGCCTGCTGGGGGGCCCAGCACAGTGAGGGCGACGCACAGATTCAAATGAGACCTCGCCATCCCTGGGGGGCTGCGATCTGTGAAACTGTCGCCATTTTCGAGGCCTGCTGGGGGGCCCAGCACAGTGAGGGCCACGCGCGGATTCAAATTAGACCTCGCCATCCCTGGGGGGGCTGCGATCTGTGAAACTGTCGCCACTTTCGAGGCCTGCTGGGGGGCCCTGCACAGTGACGCCACACGCGGATTCAAATTAGACCTCGCCATCCCTGGGGGGCTGCGATCTGTGAAACTGTCGCCACTTTCGAGGCCTGCTGGGGGGCCCAGCACAGTGACGCCACACGCAGATTCAAATTAGACCTCGCCATCCCTGGGGGGCTGCGATCTGTGAAACTGTCGCCACTTTCGAGGCCTGCTGGGGGGCCCAGCACAGTGACGCCACGCGCGGACCCA